GGCTCAGTATGTTTACTCAGCACAGTACGGTGTGTGACCGAGCGACTGTGCCAGGCACCTTCACATTCATTAGCCATGGTTCTCGCTTTTTTTGTGGATGAAAACAGAAACACACGGATGGTATCAAGATGAAACTGTCTGGAAAAGATATGCAGATATGACCACATCTGCCTCACTGGTTAAGATCTGCACAGTAGAAGAATTGCATTCCTTGAAGGCCAGAAGCCTGATTTGACCTTTCTGGTACAGTCATCATGTTCACTTGCTGTCTGAACAATTTGAACCAGAGACACTTACCTGGCACAGGGTGATTAAACATTTAAAACAGAAAATCCCCAGTAGCATTGTTTTTTTAGCCAGGGGTGAGACAAATCTAAAGTTAATCTGCCCTTAAGATGCTAGTTTTAGTTTGGTTCAACCATACACAGTGAGGGGGTCTGACCAGGCATTAATGAGAAAGCTAAGTTGACACGGAAACTCAGCAGAGTCTGTTTACCAAGGTTTTTTGAGTCTGTCTCTCCTGATAGCAGACTGTATCTACCATTTCAACCCCAAACACCAGCTCTGTGCACTTGGCCCACAATAAACGATCTTTTGCTCTCATAAAATGTCATAAGTGTTTTTCCATAAAACAGACAACACCCATGATAAAACTATATTAAAACATGTCCCTGAGATTTACAATACAGTATGAACCCATCCTCCTTTTAAGTCTTACTTCATCAATCTTTATATGATCAGTTCCAGTAACAAAACAGTAACAGTTCTCTTCCATCCAGATTACAAGGAAATCTGACAATCTCCAAGAATTATGGAGCCGTTCATAATGTGAGGAAGAGATCAACAGAGATAAAACACAATAACTTTAGGTGTCTTTTTATTTTCGTAATTTTGGCAGGATTCTCAAAATTTGTTCCAGTAATTTCCTTCCCCTGTAGCTTTGTCTCTGGCTCAGTCTCTGCCAAACACCAATTTACATAAATTGCTTTTGGTGGAATACCACTGACTGCAGATCTCTTAACTGAACACATGATGGCAGTAGAGCTCCTATAAGTGCACAAAGGACTTGGACATGACTTGGTTTTTTTCCCTTTTATTGTACAGCCGTTTATGGCAGTACAATACAACCATTCATCCTGGCACAACATAGAAAACTGCAACATGGACACCCCGCACCCGGCTATGTGGCTCACCTGGTAAAGTACGTACCACATAGGCTTAGTCCTAACCTGGGTTCAAATCTGACTTGCAGCCCTTTGCTGCATGTCCTCCCCTCTCTCCCTTCCCCCAACATCCTTGTCTTTCTCTTGCTGTCTGTATCACTATAAAGGCAAATGCCCAATAAATGCCCCCCCCAAAAAAAAGAAAAAAAATAACTGCAACATGAAACTGATCAGAAAAGTGTAACAAACTGTAACATGTCCATCTCAGTCTCTTCAGGCCAAGGACACATTTCACTGTGAACAATGTGTCAAAACTTCTGAGTGGTAGTCGTCTGGTGTGTTGGATCCCATTTCCACAAACCACCTCCAAGCCATATCTTCCACCATTGTACCAGCAGTCACACATGTGATAATGGCTTGACCCTGCCCATTCTTATGTAAGTGTATAGAAACTGCAGTTTTAAGCTGTCTCAGAATTCCTATCATGAAATAACCTCCTTGAACCCTCCTTTAAGAGTGACCACTGCACTGAAATATCTCTATTGTCTGTGACAGAAGCCCTGAGGGCAGCTAGAGCTGCATCTCATCCTCACATCTTATTTTGCTGAACCAATCAGCAGTCTTTGACAAGGTGAACCACAACATCCTGCTGTCCATCCTCTCAAAGTGCTCTCTTGGTTCAAATCCAATCTCACTGGCGCTCCTTCAGTGTGTCCTCATCCCATCCCCAAGGATCAGTAATGGGACCCCTTGTCTTTGCAAAATACACCATCTCCTTCAGTCCAATTATCTGGCTCTCTGGCTTGTCATATCACTGCTACGTAGACAACACTCAAATATGCCTGTTGTTCCCACCAGACGACCCCACTGTCTCTGCACAGATCTCATCTCTCACCCCAGTCAAGGTCATGAGAAATCTGGGTGTCATGTTTGATGACCAGCTCTCCTTCTCTGACCACATTGCATCTGATCATCTACCGGTCATACCACTTTGCTGTATACAACATCAGAAAAATCAGGCCTTACCTGACACAGTACGCCACCCATCTCTTGGTCCAGGCCATGGTTTTCTATCACTTCAATTACTGCAATGTTCTTCTGGCAGACACAGTGAAACTTTCATACTTAGTGAAGCCCTTTGACAAGCTGGTCAAAAAGACTGGGTCTGTGCTTGGTAGGAGTCTGGACTCACTCAGGACTGTTGTGGAGAGACGCATGCAATGTAAGGTGGAGGCCATCTTAGACAATACCAACCATCCTCTCCACAACGTTCTGGCGGGACAGAGAAGCAGCTACAGCTGCAGCAAACATCTCATCTCACTGCGCTGCAGAACAGAGGGGTTCAGGAGATCCTTTGTTCCCACTGCCATCAGCTATACACTATACACTAGCTATACAACACCTCAACCAAAGGAAGTGGACTCATTTAATTATTATTGTTATTTTATTATTAAAATCAACAATGAGCTAATGGATGCATGAATTTCCCCTAGGGCATAAATAAAGTATCTATCTATCTATCTATCTATCTATCTATCTATCTATGTATCTATATACACTTAGAGATGGTCCAAAATGCAGGTCTTCAATCAGCTCAAAAGGCCTAAATCAAATTCAAGTCACTAGTGCTGCCTTCAGAGTGGATCTGCAGAATCTACTTGAACTCAATCGTGCTCCTTCTCAGACATTGTGTTCCTCCATAGAATGACATCTGTCATCACCATCCCTGCACACAAGACAGTCTCAGTCCAGACTGTTCTGGTCTGTGGTTCCCTGATGGTGGAACAAGCTATCAAAGTCAGAGCAGGAGCATCCCTCTCTGTCCTCTGTCTCTGTCTCCATCTCTGCAGAGATCACCTCCTCTCCTAACACCTTTAACACCCTAACATGTCTAACAAGCTCTTACTATCACCTTCACCTGCACTTCTTTACCTGAGTGCTTAGTACTTACACCAAGGTCTCTACTGCTCTGAAGCTTTAGGGATGTCCCTCACTGTAAGCTGCTCTGGATAAAAGCATCTGCCAGATGATTCATGTAAATTAATAAATGTAAATGATCAATACAAACATAGCGACAAAATGTAGCAACATAGCAAGACATGTTTCCAAAAGCAAAAGAGATAAAGTTAAGTTCTTTAGATATCATGCAATTCACTCATTTAGAAAGAGCTATCTGAGAAAATAACCCTGATGACATCATCACTCTGATGATGTCATCAGGGTTAACTGGGCTTGGAGATTAAACATTTTTAAGAACAAGCCTGGATTACAAACTAAAGCCATAGCGTTTGAAAGATATGTGCCTTTACCTGGCATGTGAAGTCTAATGAAGAACCTATTGAGATGCATTATGGGAAACGCAGGATCCAGTGTTTTTGGAGCTCAAGCCATAAAAATGGATATTTCTGTCGCTACTGCTTCAATTTTACCATTTTATGTGTTTCTCATAAGGTTGTCACCTTTATGGAAGTTCAATAGCAAATCACTTTAGTACCAATAAATATAATTAAATAACAGTGGTGTAGGATAGATGTCTCTACATCTGTCAATAGGCCTATATTCTTTGCCAAACATTTCAAAAGTTGTACAATAAAACTCTAAATTGTAAGTCATAATAATTTAAAAGAAGTTGACAGTTATGGGATAATGCTGAATGCAGAATCTACTGTAACAGCAACACAAGTAGAGAAGAGTCATAACGTAAACTTTCTTAATTTGAGTTCTTAATCTGCTGAATAAAGTAACAGTGCTTATGAATTTAACCTTTCATTTATTGATGAACAATGTGTTAATTGTTTCTGTACATAAATGCATTATATGACATATATGTCACCTATATTATAATCACATATATACATCATCTGCATCTGAAGATTCAAGTTTATAACATATATGAAATACTCATGATAAAATTTGTATATGTACATATATCAAAAATATCCATATGGTTAATTTTTATATGGTATATCATGTTCCACCCATATATGTTAACAATATAATAATATATACATATATAATATATGTATATATTTTCAATTTATGCAAGTTTATTAAAACAACATACATAGCCTATGTAAATTCTACGTGCTGTTTTTCTTATTCATTTCTCATTAATTTTAAACATGTCTCTTCCCATTCTATGAAAGTGATCTCAGATGTTTGGAACCCACTGTATATAATGTTAACATATACTGAAAGGCTTTGGGATAGATATATATTTATGTACCATATGTCTACAATATATAGGCTACATAAACATACATATTTGTATGGGCTAGATACATATGTCAACATATGAAATTATTCCAATTTCTAATAGGTTTCATATATATTTTTTACATATGTGCTTTTATTTTATATGTGCATATATATGTCATATATGGAAATTCAATATATGTACATATAATACATTTGCAAATGAGTTAAATTTATTCTTTAAGGAGTAATATAGTGAGATTCTTTTATTTTAGCACCGTCCTGTCTGTGAAGTAAAAAGTACAATGAACTTCTGTCTGATCTGTATCCCAGAGCCCAGATAAGTGACTGGTTTCAGGGTTGCATGTTGGGTTAAAGTGCCCTGCTGCATTGCTGCATTAAAGGTGCAATGTGTAAGATTCTTATTTTCTGTATTTTCTTATTTTCTGATTCTGCCGTTGTGATGATGTCATCATCCCTTCCTCATGCTGCTGTAGCCTGACACCCATGTGTCATGCAGTATCCTCTTGCCTTCATATTTCTATAGGTAAATAAGAACATACTGTTTGTATTACAAGTATTCAAAATTATAAGGGACATGGGGAAAACAACAATATATTTAACTGGATGAGGGTGAAGAGGTGGTATGCTGCCCCTATGAAAGTGGATCAAGTGGCATGATCTTACACATTACACCTTTAAAGAAGATGTTATGGTGAATAAACATTCACTGTACTTTATATGGCTAACCTTGTGAGAAAAACAGTGACTTCCAGAGTGTGTCCATGTGTTCATTCACCGATTTGAATGAATGAATGTATTTTAGTGCACAGTTGTAGTATGATGAAGCATAAACTGCACAATGAACAGTCAGAGAGTGGTCCCCTGGTGGAGAGAGAAAAATCAAGATGAAAGTTATCATTTCATTATGGTGTGTGAGAAATGAAGCAGACAATGGCCGCTTCTTCCTGTGCTCTGCCGCCCCCAGAAGGCGCAGGCCGGTACTGCTACAACCAGACATAATAGGCAGTAGGAGTGGATGAGCCTGAGCCGAGCAGGCAGTCTGTAATCACAGGGAACACTCTCGTTGGAGGTGATACGGTCCTCCGTCCTCCGCCTGCCAATCCTCCACTTCCGACCTGAAACAGGAGCCGCTGTGCGGAGCAGGATGTATCGATCTGTTTGGTTGTAGTGCTTCCAGCGGATCCTCCATGCGTCAGTCCTGGGAATGGATCAGGAATCCGGTGTGGCGTCTGCAGGGAGTTTCATCTCCCTGAATGAACATGAGCAGAGGTATTACTCAGGTCTCCACAGCCTGTGTCAGGCTGACACTTCAGGAAAACTGTCGTCCAGCAAAGTGGCAGAGCTGTTCAAGGCGTCTCAGCTACCTCCTGAATCCCTGCATAAAGTGAGTGTTGCCCGTATCGCACAACTGCGCCTGCTTGGTCATCACATGTTATCAAGTGTGAAGGGCTGAGAGCTGCGGCTGCTGCTCCCCGAATCACAGGGATCTGCAGGAGACACTGAGCCGGGTCTACATGATCCGGCTCTGGTCTCAAACATATGATAATGAGGCGTGATATTTTCTTTGTGTACCGTCTCTCTGATTCTCTGATGATGATGATGTTGATGATGGTGTGTGTGTGTGTGTGTGTGTGTGTGTGTGTGTGTGTGTGTGTGTGTGTGTGTGTGTTGTGCGCGTGTGCGTGTGTTAGAGAGAGAGGTTTCACACACCTCCTTTCTGTTACCGCTCTGTCACACAGGAAGGCAGTCACTTCACATAGCCTGCTGCATTGGTTGTGCATGTGTCTGCGTGTCTCACCATTGTTATGTGGCCTATGCTACGTACATTTTTTTTGGATTGCTGATATCTCTTGTGAGTGATTAATGAGTTTCAGTTGACATGAGGAGTCATTTCAGTGTCCAAACTAGTGTAGAAGATTAGTCTTTCCTGGGAAGAATATTTTGTCAGCAGTGATCTTGTTTACTTCTGTGGCTGAAGTATTTCTCATGCTTTAAACTTTGAAATCAACTCTCTCTTGGAGTAATACTCAGTTGTCAGTAAATTAGGTTTGTAAAATCTTCTCTCTTTCAGGGGCCTTGTCAGTGACCTTGTATTTTGAGCCCATTTACTACAGCACAAAACATGTAGGCTACTTTACATCACAGCTAAGGATTTCCTTCATTTCCATTCATTCATTTGATCAATTTATTGTTTAGTCTATAAATCTGAAAAACAGTCTAAAGGTCCATCACATTTTTCCAAAACCCAAGCTGTTATGTTATATGATACTTAGTTTTGTCTGACCCACAGTCCAAACCCCAAATAATCTGAATGTGCAATGATCTGAAAACAGAGAAAAGCAACGGATCTCTTCTCTGCACTTGTCCTACTGCTCCATAGCTAATGGCTAATGTTAGCAAACATTTAGCAAGATATTGCTTTTTGAAGGACATTACTAAGTCCTTTTTTTGGCTCTCCACTTTTACACAACATTTGAACATTTATCATCGCTACTGTTCAACATAGTCACAGAGTCACTTTAAGTCTGCATACAGGCTATCTTTTTTATATGGTGCAGAGATGAATGGAAACCAATGGCTGCATAAAGTAGTTAAAAAATCTAAATCTGAACAAAATGCTTTAAAATGAAAGTACAGATAATCTGTAGTTGGAGTTAAAACTTGCAAAAGTACTGGCATGGTCCTTGAAGGCTGTACACACTATTTTACTCACTGATGCGCATCATAGCAAGTCTCATTCAAACCTGTCAGAACCAGCATGCAAACTAAAAAGTGTCACATTTTCTGTACTGTCACATGAATTTATATACTTCTATCTCTTTTCATACACAACAGAGACCATATCAGTAATTCTAGACTGTTTTTCATTGCCTGCAACATAGAGCTACTACATTTTGCTGACCCATCACAGGAATATAAACATATTTTTCCAGCTCAGATGAGCACAGCAGGTCACTGCCTCCGTTCACGCCACTCTCTGTCCAGAGGGGTCGGCTCCCGGCAATTGCAGCCTATTGTGTGTCTGTGTGGGTGTCAGGAAGTTTGGCAGTGAGCTTCCTTCCTGTCTGGCCTGGACCGCAGCCACCACACAGGGTTGATTGACACACAGCCTTCTGAGCTGTGTTTGGCCCTGCTGCAGGATGCCTGCAGGATCACTCTTGGACTTGGTCCTGACTTCTGGGTCATTATGTCACACAGTATCAGGGAATCAGAAATGGTGCATTTCCTCCAGGATATATGATGACATAGGAGTTGCATTGTGATTGTGATTTTACTGTAACTCCACTCTCTGCTATTTGTCAAAACAAAGGGAATTTTCCGTCACAGAGCGTATGTAGAGGTGTGTTTGCTGATTCATCCGATACCCACACTGACCAGATTTGCATCTGAATGTGTGACCTGTGTTTACAGCAGATAAACAGTGAAAGCCTGACATGTCTTCCTGCTGAGCTGTCACTGCTGTCTGTGAAGCCAGCAGTCACTCAGAGTAAGGCTCTCCTTCCCAGACATCACTCTGCAGTGAAATCAATTGTTACACTCATTACATGGACTCAAGGTACAGATTTTGGATCATCCTGTTATTGACTGAGATTATTTCCACTGACAAGTAAATGTTTCCCATAACGTTTTATCACATGACCACAATAAACAAGCACGGCAGACACCCTGACAGCTCAGTGGAAGGTGTGTTGTTGGATGATTTCCTCGTGATGCAGTAACACACAGAATTACCCATAAATGTGTGTGCTGCAGTTTGTTGTCAGGTTGTAGTTGAAGTATGTGGTATGTGTTCGTGCACAGTGTTGTGCTCAGGTGTACTGTAATGTGTCAACAGATGTGGCTGCAGAACCTGTCTGTTTGAATAAGGTGTGGCCTGAGCTCTGGTGGCACTCCAGGCTGATAATGCTGGTGCTGCTCACAATGGTGGAAGGAATACTCACGTCCTTTTCTTAGATAGAAGTAATTGTAAAAGCACTCCATTACAAAAGTAAAGGTACTCTGTGACTGATTGACTTTTCTGCACCTCAAATAATTATTTAAATGAAACCATCTGAGAAGTTTTTTGGTGAACTGCCAACACCTCGCAGACATCTAAACGGTAAACCAAAAACGTTGGAACCACTGGTTTGATTTTAATGAGCTTTCTTACTGATTGTTTTCTAATGTGAAATCTTAATCTGAGAGGTGTCTAGTAACTAGAAACTATATCTTCAGATGAATGTAGCTCAGTAAAAAGTTCAATATTTCCCTCAGAAATGTTGTGGCAACTAACGAATATTTTCATTATTGATTATTCTAGTAATTATGTCTCAATTAATCATTTAGTCTATGACATAATAACAAGATACTGAAAACGTGACATTCACAATTTTCCACAGGCCTCATGACGTCTTTAATTAATGTAGGTCGTTCTCTGTGACTGACAGTCTAAAAGCATAAGATTCAGTATTTAATTTACTCTCATACATGACAAAGATGACAACAATTGATCAACTTCCTGTTTCAGCCCTGTACTCAAGTAAAGTACAAGTAAGTTAACAGGATTTAATTACAGCAGTTGAGTACAGACTTTCTTTCTTTCTGACAGCAGTTACTCAAAGTCACAACAGACACATTCTTTTATTTATTTTGGTATTTCAGCAATCATACTGAATATGTGCTGTGTCGTTACATATGTTCTGTGGTGTAATTCAAGTTATATGTTGTTATTTTCATTCCTAAATAACAGAATAGTTTCCGTGATTTTCATATTCACATTGTCAACAAGGCATATGATTAATCAATGTCCAAAAAGTGACACCAGTGATAACATTATGTGCGCTGAAACGTTTTTGGCGTTTCTCCAGCTCCCTGTAATGACTCTCCCCCTCAGGCCAGAGATCTGACCGGCCTGTCTGGTTCCTCAAGGCCTTTACTGGTGCTCCTGAAATAATCTCATCATCAATCTCTCTCGGCTGACCTCAGGCACCATCTCCAACACTGCAGACCTGACCTGCTCTGTCTGTTCAGCCTCTTTCTGGATCATGCTTGTTTTGGATTTCATGTCTCTTTGAAAGCTGTTAACAGTGCAGGTCAAGCAGAAATAATGTGTCATAAGGCGATATGAGCCACATGCACTCCACACAGCCTCATTAGACAATGGGTATTAACAGCACCCCTGACATTCATATTTCATCAACACATAACAGAAAATGTTCTTGTTCCCCTCAGTAACAGAAAAACCGTCTGATTCACTTAAAACTTGAATCCTGGCTCACGTGTTTATGAAAAAACGTAATTGTTAGTGTTAGATAACCAGTGTTAATCCGTTGTTGCCACAAGAAGATGGATGGTCTGGTGTCTGTCAGTCATGGTGAAACCAAAACAACCCAGATGACCTTATGTTATTGAAGTGGCTTGATAAAGTTCAGCGTTGTTCTCCAGGTGTGTCAGGACTTTTTTGTAATGGTGACAGTTTCGCTTTTACTGAGATGCTAGAATCAAAAAGTTACAATGTGCAGGATGAAGAAATTCCTTCCCTTCAATTAACTTTTTTACCAACAGTCAGGTGAGAAGATTTCAGACTTTTGTTGGAATTAAACACATATGATATAAGGGGGAAGTGTTAATTAGTCTTTTGCTAGGATAAGCTAACTGGCTGCTGGTGGCTAGCTTAGCTAGCATGGATATCACACTGTTCCTGTAATGTTAGTTAGTTAATTAACATGTTAGACCTAGTTTGTTTAAAAGCTAAGGTGTAAAATCAGCTCACTGTTGTTTTACATGGAAGCTATGAAGGCTGGAGGAGCTGCTAGGTAAATTTTTGTTACCTTTGGTCAGAGCCAGGCTATCTGTTTCCCTCTATTCCAGTGTTTATGTGAAGCTAAGCTAACAGTCTGCAAATGTGCATATTTTCCAATATGTTGAACCCATTTCTCTTTGCATTTTCACCCAATAATCAGGCCTTGTCTTATAGAGGGGCAACACGTAGAAGTCCAGTTTTAATAATGCCTCTCACAGTTCATTTGATATCATGCTAACATGAAAATTGGCGACAGCTTAGTTTTCCAGCGTATAAATACTGGGACTCTGGTCAAAATAGATTGAGGGGAGTATGTGTTTGTGTGTGGTGTACCAGAAACCATTAATACTTTCATGACTGTTACTCAGCGTCCCTTTTTCAGCAGTGTATTTAAGAGCCACGTGCACTTTTAGACATCAGCGCAGCTCTAAACTCAGTCATAAACGAACAGTTTTACTTTTCAAGAACCTCTAACTGAATTTCAGTTATGTTTTGTGGAATTTTCTCTCCCAACTGACCCACATAAAGCTAATCTTCTTTGCTCCCCCAAAGCAGTCATTGTTCCTCTAATCAAAAGAGTACTGGATGAACAGATCCCACTGTGCTGCTTATCCCTCACATACTGTTTCTTCTATCTTTATTCTGTTAGTAGAGCCTGTAGTTTTGTACGACACGTTATCTTGATCAGGGTGTAAAATAATCACATGTTTAAGATTACTCTGTTCCAGATTATGTTTCTGAAAAGAGGAGGTCACAGCACTGCAGCAACATAAAGATGAGATGTATGAGGGTTATACGTTGTTAAAATCTGAACTTTCTGTGTTTCCAGGTGACCGAGGTGTGTGGAGCAAAGCGTCTGGGTTACTTTGGTACACCTCAGTTCTATGTGGCCCTGAAGCTGCTCGCGGCCGCCCAGTCTGGTCTGCCCGTTCGCCTGGAGAGTGTAACGGCCAGTAAGTCTGCCGCTCAGAGTGGAGGCGTCTTATGAGAGCAAAAGGGGATCAGGAGATTATCTTAACATGGCAGGATTTGGTCTAATCTGGATGAAAGGGGAGTCGCGTGGAAAGGGCTAAGTGGGTTTGTCCTCATTACAGGAGCACAAAATCAGTCACACCCGGGCCAAAGAGGAAATCTGTTTTCTACATAGCAAATGATAGTTTGATGGATTAATAGGAAGAGTATGAGATTTTCAAATTCACCATGGTGTGTAGTGGTAGCTCACCTCAGCAGGGTAAGATGTAGAGGTACTCAAAGATCATCACACATTTCATCATACTGCTGATGAGACAAAACTAAAGAAAAAAGTTCTTTATATACTTTCAGTACTTTTTCAAAATGATTTCCAAAGAAGAGAAAAAAGAAAAACTCATAGTAAAGAAGATAAAAATGTGATAAAGTATTCTAATGTTCTGGCTCTAGATCTACCTCTGCCCAGATTTGTTGGGCTGAAGAATGAACCAGACATGCGATACCCGACCGCCCCTCCCAGCACAGAAGGTCAGGGGGCTCAGTCTGGGACTGCTCCTGGTTCTGTCTCATGGTCTCCAGCTGACAGGAGCACCTTCAGACACCTGGAGGCAGGTGTAGAGAAGAAGGTAAGCATGGGATGAAACCTCTAATGATGCAAGGCAGTTAACAGTTTATCAGAACGAACAGTTAAATCACTGTTATGATCCACTCAGTATGTCCCCTGCTGAGGAAATGTTCGGTGCACTGAGCAGAGATATTCCAGTCAGCTATAATCATCAGAGTTCAAATGTCTTGTCGGTGAGAGATTAGAGAAGGATGACAAAGAAGTGATTCCCAGAACACAAACCTGATGGAAATGTGATGTGGGTGTCATGTAAAGTTGAGAACAAGAAGCTGGAGCAGGAACATGATCACTAAAATAAGATGATTGAAGACTTCTCTGATCACAACTTTCCAATTGCAGCGAGGTCAAAATTTGGCTTATTAATGCCCATCTACTTTACTGTGTAGTCAATGTGGCATCGTGGTAGCTCAGGGGTTAATGCACTGAATATAACCAGTACTTTGTGCTTCCCCATCTCTTTCCCCTTTGTTTCCTGTCCTCTAAAATGTATAAAATACACCACAAAAGAAAAAACACATCTTTGTCATTGTTTACCAAGTATAACTGAAATATGAAGGAAACCATATAACCACAAAGCTCCCTGGTGTAAATGTAGCACATCAGAGACTTACCTTTTTCCCCACATTTACTGTCTGCATTTACACTCTTTGGAGTAAACACAAACTGTTCCAGGATTCAGTTTGTTTAATATACTGTAGTAATCCTTTCTTATGAATGCACTGTAACATTTAGGAATCATTGGTCTAAGGATTGTTACAGATACCGGACTATGCCTCAATCTTCAGGGCCCATTTTGGCATGAGATGAAACAGACTGATCATAACATTAAAATGTAACATAGGCCAAAACATACAACATATAGATATATATATGATGTATATATGTGTGTATGTACTGATTATGTATATGTACTGTGTATGTATATGTGTATATGTGAAGTAATAAATATTCTGTCCCTGTTTTTAAAGGAGTCTTGGTCTCCACCGCGCTCACCGTGCAGTTCACCCCCCTGCTCTCCACTTACCTACCGCAGCTACTCGTACACCACGCAGAGAAATGGAGCAGACTCACAGATGAGTAAGTTCCAGTTTTATCGCAGCACTGAGCACTAATCATACTTTAAGTCACGTCTTTATTCTGAAGTTTTACTGTACAGGGCAGAAAAGTTTGCCTCAAGTAAGAACCATCAGCATCAGCATTACAGGCTCCATGACCTTTTTATTTATTCATTTACATTTCTCAGTTTTCTTCAGTTTCTGAGTAGAAACAACTTAGTTGACTGAAACTGTCAGAAGTAGATGTCTTACAGTAGTCATGAATTATAAATCAGAGATGAATTGAAAGGAAAAAGCTGAGGTTTTACTGCGTCTGTGACACCTGTTCATTCCTCCAAATGGAGCAGCTCTGATTCCTCTCACTTTGCTCTCTGCGGCTCCTTTGATCTGTGATTCTCTCATTCTGTCAGATCACATTTTTCAGGGGTGTAATCGGTAGGAAATCATTGCACGGCAGTCTCAGGTTTCTCCTCCACCAAAGCTGTGTTTTTCTCTCCTGTCCTTCAGCCTATGACAGCAAACAATCCTCACGGCCGACTGCTCAGCTGGAGCAGCACTCCTCGTCCAGTAACTACGGGACTAAACCCACTGTGGAGCACCCTGCTATGGCTCGGGTACGGCCAGATTTTTACAGCTTATAATCATGTACATTCTACATTCAAGTCTATGTTATGATACTTTGTATGTCCTTCCCAGGCGTCTTCAGCAGAGCGGCTGGCCCAGCAGGGTGTAGTGGACTATTCTGACGATGACCCCTGGAGGATCACAGAGGAACAGCTGGAGTATTATACAAATCAGTTCAAGACCCTGCAGCCTGACCTGGGGGCTCTCATCCTGGGTATGGACCCCTCCCCACCTGCTGCACCTATTTCACAGAAAAACTAAGCTTTCAAACTATGTTACCTCTTTGTCACTCTTTACTTTTTTTAGGAGCTGTTGCGAAAAACTTCTTCACAAAATCCAAGCTCCCAATACCAGAGCTCTCCCACATTTGGTAAGTGCTGACTCACTGTGTTGTCTGTCCTTGTTCTGTTCTGTTCTGGGGTCAGTTGGGTGTATATCAGCCAAGAGCCTCAGCAGGCCCACTGAGTCACACAAAAATGCAGATTTCAAAAGGGCATTTGAAACAATGTTTTTCATTTATTGCAACGCAGGAGTTGACTGTATAAAATACATTTTGTTGAAAATCTTAAATGCATAGTGTTACCAGGAGGAAACAGTCTGACCCAGTCCAAATATTACAACATGCACCTACCACCACCACAGTGTGTCACTTGACCACTCTAATGTTTGTACAAAGTAAACAGCAGAGATATGACGTGTTGGTTACTGAGCTTTAGAGGTGCTGGTTGGTGGATTTTGTCAGAGCCAGACTGTTTCCCTTTGTTTCTAGGCTTTGTATAAAGCTAACTGGCTGCTTGGTGTTAGCTTAGCTAAACACAAATGACAAACTACGTCTCTGACAACATCATATACAGTATATTTTACCATAGAGGAGGTGTCTGAATAAAAGAAATTGTTATTTGATTGTAAAATATAACATTGTGCTCTTTTATTTAGAAATATTGATTAGTTGATAGGCTGTTGAAGCACAATCTTAAAGTTAAAAATTGACATTTTGTGAAATACACTTTGCTTTCTTACTGAGAGTCAGATGACAAGATACAACTCTCATGTCTGCAGGCTAGAAATGTAGCTACAGCCAAAAGCTTGTTAGCTTAGTTTAGCTTAGCATAAAGACTGGGAACAAGAGAAAACAGCTAGCCTGGCTCTGTCCTGAGGTAAAAAGCTAAACTAACCGGCTTAGTTTAGTACATATGTCAAACTTCTCTTATATGTAATTGTATGTCAAGATTTAGCTTTCATTATTGATAAATATTGATCACCATATATACATCAGAATGCCTGCTGTAGTTAAAACCTTAAGTCAAGATGTTTCAATTTCAATTGTTGTAACATTTTAAGAGTCCGTAATTTCCTAATAATTTCCTCTTAATTTCCTATGAAGTTTTCCAGAAAGAACCATGTATTTTGGCCTAAATTAGGAATAGAAAAGAAACTGTGTTCAACTGGTAAAATCCAGTTAATTTACATAATAAATTGATGGAGGGAGAGTCTTTTGATCAGTGCACAGCAGGTCACCTGAAACATCTTTCAAGCAAATTCCTATGTTTCCTATAAATTTGTACCAAATACCACAGTTTTTTTTTTTTTTTGGAAACCTTTTTAGAAAAATTATTATGAAACTATATGGAATTACAGACCCCTCAAAAATAAAGTATTACCAATACTTTCTGATGTAATTTAATTTAATTTAATGATCAGGATTGTTGTTGAAACATAAATCTACAGCTCCACTCTCAGGTTTTCCAGATATTCTTCATCTTTTCAACTAATTTTTTAAGGGAGTTGAGTGATGTGGATAGAGATGGAGCTCTCACTTTCTTTGAGTTCTGCACAGCCTTTCACTTGATTGTGGCACGCAAAAATGGTTACCCTCTCCCAGAGAGCCTCCCTCCAACCCTGCGGCCAGGGTTCATGCAGCAGGAAGAGGACATACCGGACACTCCTGAGGTAAGGGACGTGTGCATGGATCTGTTTTCTGAAACATGCATACTGTTTGTCATGTCTTTTCTTTGCTGTGGTGTTTTTACTTTTTTATGTAAAAACTCAAACTATACTGTTGCAGAGTGCAGAGCCTCTAATTGTCTTTGAGGATGCTGAACCAAGGCCCAGTCAGATGGTAAACCGAACCCTCAGATACTCTGATTATTACTGATGAATAAAATATTTTTAAAATATGGAGTCCCTCTTTGGTGCCTGTAGGGGGCACTAACAAGCTGAACATGAGGCTGCCCCAAGTGCAGTCACCTTAACATGTTGAGCATAAACTTGTACTTCCTGTAATGTACTATACACTTTATGTTATTTCACAGGCAGTGATGTTGTATGTCTGAAAATGATTAGTTTCTTCTTCTTCTTCTTCTTCTTCTTTTTTTTTTAGGATCGAAGCATCATAGAGAGAATCCAGCCAAGTCTGGCAACAACAAAACAGGATTTGAAAGAGGAATCTTGTAAACAAGGTGAAATAAGATCATTTTTCTCCAGATTTATTTGAGTCATTAAATACTGAAAAATTATTTTCAAAAGTCAGATGCAAGGCACATTCACTTCCTCTGAGTCAATTGGCTGCTTTGTTAAAGTCACTACAACATTAACTGGGACAGTGACACAGTATTTTCCACTTTCTTTTTTATTTTGAAACAACAAAACAGAACATGTCAGGAAAACAACATAAAAATACAATCAAATTAAGTGTATAACTTCTTTATATACTGCTACCCCAGTATACTCACACACTGAACTTACAGAACAGGCACAAACACATTCTACCAGACCATTTCAAGAAAGCTAACAAGGGGGAGAAATGCTAAGATACTGTACATTTATATTTTTAAGCCTTAGAATAAAATGAAATGCCACTATCCCAATTTAGTCTCTACAAAAATATTACGTGGTTGGTACAATTTCTAAAAAAAAGACTCATCACTTCATTCTGCTGCTGATGTATTTATTACTGTGTCTACAGATGCAAGTTTGAAGAGGGCGACAACATCTCAAGAGAAACGGACTCTGCAACTCTGTGCTTTTCCTGAGCGGCCAGGTGAAACTACAACTCCTTTTGATGTGGGAATATAACACTGAACGCCTTGTTCCTGCACATAAAAACATCATGGGCCCCAGTTTTGAGATGTGGCCTTGTACCACAAATACACCACCACCCTAAGTGTGTTCACTGTGTTGCTAGTCCTTCCTCTTTGGTCCTGTACGTTGGAAATGTCTGGTACACTGTCTGTGATGTAGTTGAGAGTGCAGCTTTGCAAACATATATACAGTATTCTGTAGGCACATGGTAAGATTCAGGCATTTCAGAGTGATGCAATATATTTTGGTTATGAAAGTAACTGCAGAAATACCACATGACATAAATGATATGATAAATATGTGTAGGTTCCAAAGGGAAGTAACTGCTTCTCATTTACAACAACTCACACAAGACCAAAAAAATCCGACCTGCCTTTAACGCATCCTTCCTCACAGAACCGCCTCAGGACCTGGACCCACAGATGAGGACAAAAACCAGGCCGAGGTGAAAATCCCCCTGTGACACCAGAGAAATCAGTTCAATAACATCCTGAACTGCTCATTAATCTCTTGGTATTTCTGTTACCTCATGGGCAGGTCCTACTCCAGCACCTCTGTTGATGATGCAATGAAGAAGGCAGAGGAGCCTCCGACTCCACCGCCTCGGCCCCAGAAAACCCACTCCAGAGCCTCCTCACTGGACCTCAACAAACTCTTCCAGCAGGGCGCTCCCGGTATGACTCACTCAACTCAGCTCCTCTCACAATATTAGCTTTGTAACCCAGATGCTGAGAGCATGAACTGCCTGCAGCTACGGTGCAACCGAGTCATTGTGTTTTGTTTGTGACAGTTCTCCTTCCATGAGAGGACTAAAGGGGGAAATGGAGATTTGTTGGTTTTTTATTGTTGAGTCTGAAAGGGGAGAGGCTCACAATAGAGAAAGTCAGTTTCTGATTATGAAAATAGGAATGGTATATTTGTGAAATGTGTCTCCTGGAAGCAAAGAATTATAACCACAGTAATTTATAGCTTAGTGAAACTTTTTCTGGATTTCAGGAGTAAAAAGTGGATGGTTACCACCTCCTCCCGCCCTCCCTCCAAGACCGATAACCTCACAGGTAAGCCCTGTTTGATTATGGAAGCACTCCAAGCTAATGTGTTCTTATTTCCAGTGAAGGGAGCCTTTGTTGTTCCTCTGAGCTCTAACTGTGCACATGTCCCATAAATTAATGATAAAAGAAAGCTTTGGTTAATCAGTACCTATCATCTCTCTCAGGTTCCTCATTTTATCACCACCTCAGAGAAAACTCCCCCGAATAAAGTGCAGCAGCCAAACTTTGCTGACTTCAGTCACTTTAGAGAAGAGGTGAGCATAAAATCTAATTTCTTACTTTGATATCCCTTGGTGTTTTTTTCAAATGCCGCAAGCAGCAAAATTGTCTTTGTGAAAGGGGGGAAAAAAATCAGCAGGCAAACTCAAAATTCCATCACAGGTCGTCAGCGTTTTCCACTCCCGGATTTTCCACCTTCCACGTCAGATGTAGGACTATAAATGTGTCACCATGTTTGTCAAAAATACAAGCCTCTATTTAACAAGACTCAAATGAACTCAAAGGTTGTGACAGCGGTGTTCATCAAAGTCTGCTCTGCTGTGGGCTGCAAGCAGGCGGACACATCAGAGATTTATTCATGCCAGCAGTGGCAGGTCGTGCATTTAGTCTGATCCTGTCTCAACCTCATTCTCTTTGTCCTTCGTTTGTCATTCCTTACACGTCTTATTATTTATATATGTGGGTATGCACTTGTATCCTGTTACACTACATAACAAATCCAGTGCATGTTTAATATTGATGAGTTGTGAGGACGGGAATAGAAAGCTTAAATGAAAATTTCATGCACCTACATACATTCAGAGAGAGGACGTCCTTATTCTCTAACTGTAACATCTACACCACTGCAGACATAGACCTTTAACATTTCCTCTTCTCCCTGTGGGCCCTGGGTCTAATTTAGGAAGCATGGGCAACCACCACATTAGGAAGTATCCTCACTTAGTTAATGCTCTTCACAACTTACATCATAGCCTCAACCTATTTTCTGGCTGCTTACGAATCCATTACTATATTATATTTCATATCAGGTGTCCATTCATGTCTTAGGTTAGCTTTACATTATACAAATGTATAGTTCCTCTTTACTAATAATCCATATCTAATTAAGATAGTAATCAGACTAAACTTAAAAAACACTCATTAGCGCATTGTGTTGGTGAGTCTGTTGATGTATGGAATAATATAAAATGCACTTTAAAATGCTCTTTTTTTAAACTCAGTGTTTCTCCCAGCTTCTGAAATTGTATACCCAACAGGCATAATAAATTAATTGTGTAGATGCCAAAATATTGTATTAATTGGGTTTCATTTTTCTGGAAATGCTTCGTATTTACACAGTTTTGTATTTATTTGTTCATCCTCCTGGGAGACAAAGTGAAGGGTGAAGGGTTTCTGTCCATAGTGGAGTCCACCCCTCTGACTTTAACTTGACAAATCAGATGTAGTTTTAAGCTCAAAGGGCACAGAAGCTATTCAATCCTCATGATATAATCCTACCCACCTCCTCTGAGTTACTCCCGTACTGTCTTTTTAGTGTAGTATCATACAGTATAATGATTAATGTGCCCTCTCAATACTATGTCTGCTCTTATATCTTTAACTCTGTTGTACCACGGTTGTTTTAGTACTATCACCATTTCTCTGCCTTCCCACGGGATGTTTTACTCTTATTTCTTAAGTCTTAATTAAAACCAAGCAGACTGGACGCCCCCAAAGGTGGCTGTACCCTGTGTTCATATGTTTCACATAGTAAGACAAACTGAAACTCACACCAGCCCAAACCCCTGAGAGGGAGATTTCACAGATGAGTGAACTATAGGCATAATTTAAAGTAGCTTCCTTAACATAAAATATCTCAATGTTAAGGGTGAACATTTGATAGCGGCTGTTGCAGGAAGCCATTAGGAGCAGTTCAGTGTGCAGTTATAGTAAATGGAGAAACAGCTACACATCTGCAGGCATTTAACTTCACTCGGCTTCACTTCACTTTGCTTCACTTTACCTCATTACTTCAACTTCACCTGTCCACACTTCACTTACCTTCATTTATCTTAACTTCACCTCACTTCACCTCACTTTACTTCACTTACCTTCACTTTACTTTATTTCACTTCACCTCACTTTACTTCACTTACCTTCACTTTACTTTATTTCACTTAATTTCACTTGATTTCATTTACATTACCTTGCTTGCCTTCACATCACTTTTCTTTACCTCACTTTTCATTTACCTTCACTTCACTTTTCTTTATTTCATTTCACTTCACTTCACTTTTCTTGATTTCACTTTTCTTGATTTCATTTCACTTGATTTCACTTTCCTTCACATCACTTTTCTTTATTTCACATCACTTCACTTGACTTCATTGGCAAGCAGCCAGGACTGATGCTCCTGCAGTGTCACATCTTTGTATTTCTTCTAAAGCACAGTGGAGCTGAATATCTGATTGTCTGTCAGTCCAACTAACATCTACACTCTCCACTGTCTCCTCCAAAGACTGGAGAGACTTATCAGCGATCCATTACCACGTGCAGGTTTAGTGTCCTTAACTTCATTCCTCCTGGTTTTGATGTGTTTTTGCTGATCATTTCTTCTTATTTAGATCATTAAAATGACCTCAAAAGGTCTGTGTGTCAATGACGGTACCTCTTCAGTCCTTACATTGCTGGAGTAAAACAGCCATGACCTACAGCTACTGTGACCACATGTAATGCTAATGGAGCTCCTGTGGTTTACTGCTGCTGTAGCAGCTACTACAGTAACTTTTAAATGTTTCCATGCTGTGGTTGTGTTTCACGTTCAATGGTGCAGTGAATCCTTGGGCCATTTATTTGTGTCTCCATGCGAGTCAGTCGCATTGCTCAGTGAAATGCACTTTTAGGTTTCTTGGGGCACAATTTACAGCAGCAGCATTAGCCTGTTGAAACCATCAGGAAAACCCAGGAATTTCAACTGCCACCGCAATGGAGACAGTGGCCCATATAAAAATTAGTGGATCAAATTCACTAAATCCAACATTAACAGATGGGAAATGTTGTGGAGCAGAAACGTACCAAAGGTGCTTCCTGGTAAGAAATGCCTTCGACTCTCTAAACAACTGATCTTTCAGTCTTGCTATGAGCTAAAAATGAAGAAATAAACATCTCACTCTTGCACTGTTAACCTCTCTGAATGAAAGCAGGTGATGATGTGTTATATATTATGTCTAGAAGAGAATAATGTGGAAGATAGGAGATGCAATAAATGCAAGTGAATCCATCATGGCTGCCCCTGAGCAGCCGTGGCTAGAGAGCACTACATCGTGGTCCCTGTAGGGAAGCTGTTGATTTATCTACGGTCAGGCGGACACATTTCAACCTACCTCTATAGCATTCCTCATATCATCTCGCCTTATAATGATGTATGTTGGTCAAGACTTTTTTTTTTTTTTTTTGTATAGCATACATGTATGTGTCATGTGTTTGGTTTTGTCTGTGTTGCAGGAGGAGAGCAGTGTAAAACCTGAGGAACAGGGTCTACAATCTAAATTTGGTCCAAGCACAGAAGACTTGACAAATGCTTCAAAACAGGTCTGAGCACCTCACCCAGATATGTGAGGGTCCTGCTCCTTTTATTTTCTAAGAGTCTGTGTCTCTGTTGCAGTGTGGAGGTTCATTTCTGTTACCTTTACCTTTTTATTTCTGTTACCTTTCCTCCAGGACGTGGCTGGTGTTTGTCACAGTCAGGCTCCACAGAAACCAGTTCGCAGGAAATACCACACAGAGACCCAGAACCAGGAGACCGCACCTCCACCTGTCATGTCGTATCCTCCCCCTGCCAAGCCTGCTCAGAAGTCAGTCAAACATTTGACTCTTTACATCTCATTGAATCTGAGTTTTCTTGATTAGCTACATTGGTTGATTGATTGATTGATTGTAATAATGTAGTTATAATATAATAATGTTGTAATAATGTAATAATAACATAGTAATAGTGTAGTGGTGGCTGATGTGATCTCATCACAGTTTTACGTAATGTCTCAGAGCGGACAGGAATGATTGGAACTGGTTTTACATTGATCCATGAATTACCCCAGGGGTATAAAGTGGAGGGGGGCAATGGCCCCCTCCCTACTTTCTACCTCTCCATTTTCAGTGCCCTTGCTTCGACCACATCTATTTTCATAGTCTGCATTCATTTTGATCTCAGCTACACACCTGTAAAGTTTTGTGAAAGTTCATGCAGGTGGTGATGCTGCCACGTTGACAAACTGTCCACAGACAGACACTCGTCAAAGTCCTCAGAACAGCCTCTGGTAGTTCTGGTACAGGAAGTGTCTGTAGGACACTTTGCCATGATGACACACACACACAGACTCACAAGGTGAAAACAACCTGAGCCACGCTGTTGAAGCTGGTTATAAATATGATCTGGCTTTTTTTTTTTCTTTTAGGTTTAGGTTTAAGCCATTAAGTCAGAAGGTACAGAAAGATGTGTTTTAGTTGCTCTCAGTCTTATTGTAGGGCAATATGGACAGAATGTATGTCCTCAAAAGTAATAAAAGCAGTTCAAAATCACATGGTAAAAAGTTTAACTAAGGTAACTGCAATAAATGAAATTATAGCTCTGTCATTCAGGGTTATAATAGATAGAAAATACCATATTTCCCATTATAGTTTGATTTCAGAATAAAGCTGCAACATGAGAAAATGTTAAAAAAAAATTGGCAAAATTGAAGGCATCTAAATACTGTCCAAATGTTTTGTAATTTTTGTATTCACTTTTCTTGAATTGTTAATTGTTAATGTTTTTTCAGACTTTGGACCCCACCGTAGATTTAGTAGCTGTGCTGTAAAAGTCTGTGTGGGGATGGGGATTGTAAATCCTTAAAACTCATCAGGAAAGGGGAATTCAGAAGACATTAAGGCACACGCTAACCACCATAATGACTGTAGCATATGTGCTGCTGTCTCCTTATTGAGCAGACAGCTCACTGAAACTGTCAGTCTGTGCAGTAGAAGGTGACCATCAATCACAGTGGTGACTGTTAGCAGTGGCTGGTTGATGTAAAGCTCAGTGTTCTGGTCTGATCCTTGTGGTCTCCTCTGTCTCTGACAGCAGCGGCTCTGTTTCAGCGTTTGTTCATTTTAACTCCAGATATTTTCTTCCATCAGTGAACAGCTTAAAGACGAGATATTTTATTCAGAGTCAGTTATGTTACATTGTTTTATCTGGATACAAAATGAATGAAAAACATGATAAAGTGGATGAATGCTCTCTCAGACTGTCCAGACAGAAGAGGGAGATCCAGATGGCGATCCGTAAGAACAAAGAAACCAATGCAGTGCTGACACGCCTCAACAGCGAGCTCCAACAACAACTCAAGGTCAGCCCATCTTCTGTTTCTGTTTCTATGTACACAGTGTTTTTGAAGGAATGCGTGTCGATCCATGTGAACTTTGTGACATTCCCTGACCTCCGGCTCCTCCGGGACACTGTGAAATGGGGAAAACCAGCCCTGCAAAGGATAGGGATTTCATACACAACATTTAGCCTCAGCCACGAGAGCTTGGTAGTGTTCATGTTAATGCTGATTCAAAAGTTGTTGCTCGATTGTCACAAGTTGAATTCTACTCCTTTGAGCTGAGGGGAAATGCTGGTGAAGAGCCCTGAGCTCATCTGTCTGCTCCCCTGCTCATCACTCATGGCTGAACTAATGGCACAGACCTAGATGTTTGCATTGGGGATCTGCCCGTGGCACACGCTCTCACAGTTGGAACACATGCAGCATGCCTGTCATTCTCCTCGTAAATGATCCAGTAGCGAAACCTGCACGCTCACATGCAGCACTTTCATAGCTGTAAAGAGTAAGAGTAACTAAAGAGCTACTGAAGAGTAAAAAGAGAAGAAATCCAGCAACACACAACCAGTTTCTTAAATATCACACAAACAGACAGGAAGAAGGATTTCTAAGCTTTCAGCTTTTATTCTGGTGTTGTCTTCCATTAGCAGTGAGTAATCTAGACTTATCTTTATTCACTCTAATTCAGCTTGCTCCTCAAAGCATCTGTGGAATTCAGCAGAGAAAGGCATATGTGTCTTTATATAGACTCGAGCCCTGTTGAAATACCAAACAGCCACTGGCATTCACAACTGTCCTCTTCAAAATAGAGCCCAGGCATCCAGCTACAGCAGGGTGTGTGAGAAAAAGAAAGGAGGCTGGATGGAAAGGGATGACACCACCCTGACTTTTCCTCAGAGGAGGGAGTCAAATTTAAAATAAAGACATAGTTTGTGAAGTAACAAGAAAATCGAAAACTTGACAGATGTTATGTGAAGTTATGAACAGTTATGAGTTATTCCAAGAAAAAAGTATTCATCAATATTCTTCTGAACATAGAGGAGCCAAAGAAAGACCAATTAGAGACCAGCACATTTATGTTACTTTGCATTAGGATGGAAGTTTATTAATGTGTCCCATACTATGGTCAGAGAACATATACTGACTCCAGCTGAACTGATTCTCCTGAACTGAACACTTTGCCTTTTGGATATTGCACTCATGCCAAAATGTCATTTTTTCATACAAGATACCTGCCCAGGGCTCCCCAGAAAAATTTGGAGGAGTCACAAGATGAATAAAGAAATAAGATACCTTCACCCTTTCAGGCCCTAAGACTTCATCAAATGAAACAAGAAAAACTACAAGACAAAACAGGCTGGGGATGGACCTCTCAATACACACTTAAGTGGTCACAAGCCAAGAGGGTTGGGAACCACTGAGGAATCTTTGTATGATGCTCATTCTGTCCAACACTTTAATATGTTAAATATGTAATATGAATCTCGTTATTGACCACTGCGACCAAAACAAACAAACCAGATAAGCAGTCAACTTGAGTGTGTTGCTACACTCACACACACGACTCCTGTCACTACAATATATATCCAGTGCACCATTGTGATTATGGTGGTGTGATCATTGCCTTGCTCTGTTTTGCTGCCGCTGCTGCTCATATAGCATTTTATGAACCCCACCTCCACCCAGATATCAACACTGTATTGTTCATTCAATAATATTTATTTTCCTGTCAGTTGGCTGGCTGAACCATACCATTCATTCTGCCAAACACTTTGATTTTTAGGGTGCGATGAACATATGGAGACGTTAATCGATACCACATTAAGACAACCCTTTATAAAGGATTTATGAATGGTTTATAACTAGTTTATTAATTAGCTTTTTAGTTAACAATTTATAAATAATTTATAAGCTGTTATAACACATTAAATTAAAAAGAGTAACCTGTTGCTTGCCAAATAGTGAGCCATCACATCAACATGTATCTGTACTGTTCAGCCTCTTCTCTCATTAGTTACTGAGCTTTCTTTGTTTTCTCCATCATCAGCATTTGTAGCTGCTGCTTCATCATGTTTGTTCAGTCACTATCAATGAACCAGCATCAGCATCTTAATGGTCAAACAGTTTCATCTGACAGATCAAATTATAGCAGATCACATGATCATATCAAATGAGCAGATTCATGGTCTAAGGCCGTGGCTGTGTTGTTTACCTTGACATGTATCAGCAGCCGTCCTCATTCTAATCACAGCTGTTGATCACATTGTTCTGCTCAGTGCAGATTAACATGGAGATGCTTTTTGCTGGTTGCTCTCTTCTTTAGGACTTTAACATCCAGCTAGAACACAGGTGGTAACCCTCCTTTACCTGGTGAACTGCTCATCAATTCTTTGTCCCACTCTTCACATCTCTGTGATTCTCCCTCCATCATCTTCATGTTTCTTCATCTTTAGCTTTATTGTAAAGTGTAAAACACATCAGCATTTATTAATAAGATTCTATTATTTGTAATTGGTAAACATTAACATGATCTTGGCAAATAGTGAGTCTGCATGAAAATTGTAAATTGTGTTATAACTTATAACTTAACTAGTTTATTGTTAACAACCAACTTACTAACCTCATTACAAACCATTTATATATCTTTTACAAGGGTAGTCTTATTGTAAAGTGGTACCCATTAATCTAGGTAAATAGCTCTGTGACCAGGACAAACAAACTTGTGTTGGCCACTACGCTCATTTGGAAAACTCATTTGGAGTCCACATTTCCCAAGGGATGAAGTTCGTATCCTCACTGCCCACTCCCTGCTGTGCTGATCTTTCTTGTAGGGGGTCAGCGCCTCTATATGTTCTACATGCACATGATAATCCATCCCATCTGAGTTGGCCAACTGAACTCACCTTGTAAGCTCTATTGACTTCAGAACAACTTCACATTTTTGTTTGTTTCATTTGTAACTTGTTCTCATTCATATTGTAATGAACATTAATAGTCAACTTGGTTCTTCGGCGAAACTCATATGGCATACCCTCCTCTTATGTTTCCCTCGGTGGGAGTTCGTTTTGTCTTTGTATGCTTTCATATTTTGGGATGAAATGAACATTATAACAATTAGCTAGCAGGGATTTCTTCTTCTTCTTCTTCTTCTTCTTCTTCTAGACCATTGTTACCACGGCAAACAAAGCAAATAATATAATTTACTGCCTGAGCTGGATCTTCAGATGACAGCACAGTGGTCAAAGGTCATGTTTTCTTTTGGTCGGTCTGCAGGTGGTTCACCAGGAGAGAGTCACCCTGGAGTCCCAGCTGGAGCTGCTGCGTCCTCTGGCCTCGACATGACGGAGCCTCAGGTCTGGTCAGAATCATGTCATCAGTATTTGACATACTTAAAGTTGTTGTTTTTTGTGATGAATACAGAGGAAATGTAAAAGGGCTGAGGATGGAAACAAAGTTGCATTGTTGACATAGTGGGATGTCCAAGTGTTACTTTGTATTACTTTTAATGCTGTTGGATTGAACCATGCATTTTTAATCACTGTATGATGTGCACATGTAAAAAATCCTGTTGTTCATTGTGACATTCTAACTTATTTTTCTCTTTTGAGTTACTCTTAGTTTCTCCCATTAAACTTACTTTGCTTACAATACATGTAACAATTTTGTGCACATATTGCCAACGACTCTGGTTATGTTCTGTGTTAATAATGGGAACTGTCTTTTTTTTTTTTTATAAACAGTGCATTTCATGAGTATCCACATGGTCTAAAGCGAGTGATGGTGCTACAGATTAGTTTATGAATCCGGTTACTTTTTGCACTTGAAGTTTCCAAAATGCACATTTACATAGTTGAGTTTGATTTAGCTGCACGTTTTCAGTCTTCACACGTTTTGATTGTCTGTTGTCAGACTGTAGCACTGTCCTGTGTGACCATGAGGACACAGAGGAATGTTAACACTTCTGACACTGGATTTGTATGAAATATGTACATTTTACTTGAAATTGGGCTCCATATTTAATTTGAGCTCTGTCTAAACTTTTAAATTCCCTTATGTTTATTATCATATGAAGTTATTTCCAGGTTGCATCCATACTGTATTGCTCAAGTTTTAAAAAAAAATGATCTCCAAAAACCAAAAGAAAAGAAACGAGCACAATTCCTGTTATGTTTTGCAAGATAAATTTCAATCTGTCCGTATGAGCAGATGTGGTTTTAATTTGATCTATGCAAAGATGTGGTGCTACTGAAGCTTGCTTAAGATAATTTTTCCCCACAAATCTAGATTGTTAATGATGGTAAATGAAGTGGTTGAATTACATGATGGCATGCTTGATACTGCATGTTTTAAAATGATGTGAGCACTGGACTGTCAATTAGCCTGAAACCATGCACAACTGAGCTCTGGGCCGAAGACAATAATCAAATGAATCAATAAAGTTGTCTATTTTTAACTCTTGTTATTATTTTATTTTTTTATTTTTTATTTTATTTATTTTAACTATCACCTTGTTGTCAATTACTGAAAGAAACAGTTAACCTTTTACTGGTGTGTAAAGATATAACTTGGGGTCGCACTGAACACCATGGATGTGGAAACCTGAAAAACTTCCTACTAAATTTCGGAAAAATGTACAAACTTCGTCTCACTTTTAGCGCTCAAACGACTGTGACATTGATGTTCCAATACATAAACAGATGCAGCAGACGTCATTATCACCTCATATGAGAGATGAAGAGATCAAACAGGCTGCAGTCTCAACCCTCTGGCCCTCGCAGAGCAGCTGTGCTTTCTTCTGCACAGACACAACAAGCGAGGGTCAAGCAGGTCACCACTGATGGCTGTATTCCCAGTGCCTCCGCTGCTGCCGTCCAAAAATATCCACTGACACACTTGGCTCCTGTTTAGACACCTCACACTCATAGGCCTATTTCTCTTTCAGTTATGTTTCATTCAAGCTCACTACTCAACTCCGAGGTAACAAGCTACTCTGATGTTGATCAATGACTTTGATCTATCTGGACAATTTTCCAACATGTTGTTAGCCATGCAAGCTGGATTTTAGCATATGTGGCATATGTGGTTTTGAGTGAGATTACTAGACAACTACTGGATGAATGAAAAACTTGCAAAACTAATTATATTCCCATCAACGTTAGCTGTGTTTAGAGTTTACTGCTAATTAGCAAACGTTGCAATGCTACTACACTAGTTGCTAGTTAATAAACATTACTCCTGCTTAAAGGAGCTATTTGTAAGTTTTACTATTGCTACATAGCTAACATTAGCATTAATGGCTATTTACTCATCAGGCTTACTGAGAACATTAGTCATTAAGGTATTTAAAAGGTCCTCTGAGCAGCTACTTCTAAAGGGCAGACTGGATGCTAGTGACTCCGTGTCCACCTCTGGAGACAGCTGTTGGTGAGTAAACGAATGAAGTTTGATGCTGAACTCACAACGTTTCCTCTAGACTGTAGTCTGTAAGTAAACAGCTGTTAATGCTAAAACTGGCTATGTAGCAATAGCAAAACTTACAAATAGCTCTTTTAACATCAGCATGTTAGCATTGTCACAGAGATGTGTTAACATTCAACTGGTAGCATTTAGCTGTGCCTAAGTGCAGCCTCACAGAGCAACTAGCATGGCTACAGACAGTTTGAATAGTTGATGTATTTTGCGTCTCATTTTTCCTGGAGATATATAACATATATTCCGGATGTGAAATATTCTGCAGGATTAAATTGAGCCTAGCAGAGAGCTGAATGGCTGACCGGGTCTTACTGAGTGACTGAAATTGCAGGACATTTTTTAAGAAAGAGCTAAATGAACCAGATTATTTAATCCAAGGAAAACAGAATGATGTTCCAGCCTCTGTGAAGGTACTGTTGGATAATATGTTGCTCCCACATGTCTGAGAAAATGAATGAGTTAAAGTGAACCAGCTCAGTCTGGGAGACAGACACAGGATGCCAGACGACAACAAGGCGCTCGTAACTCCTCAGTGCCATAACCAATAGTTGGCACAGCCCTGCGTGTTAGTACCTGCTGCTTCAACTTACAGTATCTCCTCCAACACTGCAGATTGTATTTCATCGTATACATCAGGAGAGGAGGGTGTTGTAGATTAAACCCGGCAGCTTAACAGGGAGCCATTCTCCCTGAACTATAAATACCACTTAAAAGTGTTTGGTTCGCATTTCAAGATGACAGCTGCACGTGATGACGAAACTATATGTGTCCGCCATGTGTCGTCTCTAAGTATATGCCTGTTTGATTTAATTGCCATCTCGCCATCTCATGCTGGGTTATTATTACCTACATGGTTATTACTATTAATGAGTCATCTAGCGTGAGACAGTGATATTCAGTGCCTCACACAGAATTGGGCGACCATAGACATCCATATTAATTTGTGTCACAGAGACTGCATTGTCAAGACCAAATGAGTGGAATACAGCAGAAAGTCAAAGTTAATCAAATGAAACAAACTGTTGGCTGACAAAGACATGAAGAGCACTTTTTCAGTGTTCAGTGTAAATAAACTGTACCCATATCTCCCCAGAGGCTAAAACATAAAGCTGTCTCTTCTCACAACAAAGATTACCAGCTTTTGTACGTTCAAGTTAGGCCTTTTGTGGCAGGACCATTACTCAAAGATGACGACATACGCCATTTCTCTCGTCTCTCCTTTGTCCCACGCTGGGCTTTGCAAAGGTTGCACTTCTGGTGTGGACATTAGTTAGGCCACAGGAAGGGCATTTAGGCCGTCACCTCTGCTGATTCTGGCCCCGTCAGCTGCTGGGATTTAACTAAATACTCATTCAGCAAATGTGAATGAAACTCGGCCCAGGCTGTTAGGTCTGCATGCAGAGGTGAACGCAAAAATGAATCTAGACCGAGACTATGATACCTTCAAACAGTAATACTTAAAGTTTCATCACACATCATAAATGAATAAAGCAAATATTGTATTTATTTGTTGATTTCCCAGCAAAAAATAAACAGATTCATACTCTTTATAAGCTCTACAAGTTCCCACCCTTCTCCACCTACAATGCATTGATAATACAGTCAAACCTCAGTGTGAATAACAGAAGCAGTGTGATGCTTGTGCAGGATACATTACATTAGCTTTGTGACATTACAAACATTTCCTTTGTTGTCAGTTCTGAACATAAGGCTGAGAGTTAAAAGTAAGGCTGCAACTAATCTTTGTTTTCATCGTGATTGATCTGATAATCATGTCCTCAATAGCTTAACCATTGTCCGAAATGAGTGATAAATATCAATCACAGAAAGTTACTCAGAGTCTAAGTGACATATTGAAATGTCCTGATTTGTCTGACAAGCCATTCAAAAGTTAAAACCTTTTGATAAGAAAATTAATAAAATTGGAACTGGATCTGGAACCAGAATAGAAGCTGAAACCAGTGAGTTTTTGGTATTTTTCTTGAAAATTAGTTATCAATATTATTTACTTACTGTCTTTAAATCAACTAAGTCAGTGGTACTCAAGCCTCTTCCCGTGAAGGACCTAAATTGACACAAATTAGACCAAGGACGCCATCTGAAAAGATTATTATTATTTCATTAACAAATGAAAGGATGGGGGGGGGCGCTGGGAGGGGAAAGAACTGCTTTCTGCTTAACTTGAGTGTTTGAAACCATTGAATTACAGTGTTTGAATCCCCGTAATATTCATATGTTCTGTCATTGTGTTAAAAATGGATGGAAATATAATGAGAAAAAATGATTCCCCTTCTTGTTGGGGACCCCCGGGAACCCTCTCAAGAACCCTTCACTTTGAGAACCACTGACCTAATCTCTTCAGTTCTATTTAAAAACAAGTGAGGAATTTATGAAAATGCACCGGATCTCCCTTCACTGACATGTCCAAGTGTTGATAATAATAATACCTCACACAGTGTTTTATGTTTGTAGTGCACAGGACAAAAAGCGCAAAGTCATGAGGATAATTTAAAACATTTATGAGGTTTTACCCTTTCCTTCTGTCAGTTTCTCCCTTGAAACAAAAGAGATCTGAACATACACAGTAGTGTTCAGTGTTCAATATAACACACACAGTAGTTATTGCTGTGATATGTGTTCAGTGCCGCATAGTCGCCCGCAGGACCGTTGTATTCATTTTTCCTGGTGCGAGTGAAGCCAAGAACCAGGACAGTCCGGATCCAGAAAAGCCTGGGACTCCACTCCAGGTCTTGCCCCCGCCTTTTTTTAAAAACCACCTCTACTTGGGAGCAGTGAAAAACAGAGTAGCGTCGGGGCAGCAGATGACCCGGCGCAGCGCGAGGAGCACAACAGTCTTCTCTAACAAATGAAAGGATGGGGGGCATCAGCAGCAGCTGAACTCCGAGAAACTGGATCAGGGGTCGAGGGGAAAGAACTGCTTTCTGCTCACCCTCGGGTGACTTTTGTTGGATTTAATCCCCGGTCCACACCAACATGCCATTTGCCAAACGAGTCGTGGAACCTCAGTTACTGTGCAGGTATCAAATCCCAAACGAGGAGGGTCTGCTTTTCGAGGACCTGGTCTCCATCAGTAATGTGGCTCTATCTCGGACCTTGCGGCAGCTGTCGGACCTGGCTAAACATGCCTGCTCCATATTCCAGGAGCTGGAGAACGACCTCACCTCCACCAACCTGCGGGTCAGGGGGCTGCAGAGCAAGATCAGCCTACTTCAGCAGACCTGCTCCGAGCTGGACCCCAAACAGGAGGCAGTGCGTAAGTACCTGACTCAGTGTGATCCGGTTCATGTGGGCGCTGCAGGCACTCGAGCTGCGCGCGGGTCTGAAAGAAAACGGCACGAGGAGGCATCCTCTTCACTTTCTACCACTAACTCGTAGAAAGTCATAATTTCTTCAATGACGCAGATAAAAAATAAAGTTACTACAAAACCACCTAAAAGTCGGATAAAGTCGTTGTTGAGCGGTAAACGGTTCATTAATCCAGACACCTTTTATTTATTCTTCATTTGTTTTAGTTGTAAGACTTCTCTCGCAGTTTGTAGACACACGGTGACATACTGGAAACACGCTGCTGTTGTCATCTCTCCCTACGCTGAGGGGCGTGTGATGCAAGAAGCCACATAGTTATTACACTGCTATTACTCCTTATAAACATACTCCCTATCACAGATCAATGTAATGGCTTTTTAATGAAATGACATGAACCAGTTGACCAAAATGAGTGTTTCTCCATTTACTATAGTCAAACTTTCTATTTATTTACATTTAAAAACACCAGTGTGTATTTTTATTTATAAAAGATAGTCTATATGCTTCCGGTCCAAAGTGACAGACCTCACCGTGTAACAGAGACAGAGATACATGAGTTCAGTTGTAGGTGTTGGGTTACATGATGCTCTGCTCCTCACAGTTGTCTCCTGCTGCTGCATGTGGTGAACTTTGCTTGGTCACCAGTAAGAATTCATTACCCTGATAACACAGCATGTGGCCACAGCTCTTTAATCTCTGTGTGCATCCCCCCACCCCACCCCACCCCCCTGTGGGTGACTGGAGGATGATGTGATATTGGTGTGTGTGTGTGTGTGTCTGTGTGTGTGTGTGTGTGTGTCTGTGTGTGTTTATGTATAAACCCACTCTTCAGGAAGCACTTAGGAAACCTGTGCACCCCTCACTACCCCCTCAAAAAAATGTCCTCCCCGGAACAGTTCCTCCAGCTTGGACATACCCCGATGGATTTACCCTGTTAGGTTGAGCAAGTCCTTGCATGTTCTCCAGACCCTGCTGCTTCCTGTGGTCTGTGAATGGGTTACTTTGCCTGAAGGTGTTTATCTGCTGCCTGACACAACCCAAGACACAGACCTGACCCCTCTTAAACCTGATTTAAACCTTGACATGTCAGCAGAGATTCTTTTTCAGCGGCTGGCCTGTGGAGCAGCTTGTTGCACATTTTAAACATGTCTGTTCTCACTCATCCTGATCATGAGTTATCTTGAAATTGATTGTCAGGGGCAACTGGATTTGATGTTGGGTCTTACAGATGGTCCATCAATGAGCTTGCTGTGTGAATTTTAAATGCTGAAAATACTGTTTTCAAGCTACATGTTGGGATACAGGGGATGTTGCGTGCCAGGTTAGCAGATAACCCCTTTTGCCTGGAAAAGCCTAATTACTCTTAATTGTGCCTTTCATGTTAATGGTGTCAGGGGCAGCCTTAAACAACACAACCCTCCCTCATCTGAATGACAATTAGTGTAAATGGAGCAGCTCAGGGCATGGAGAGTTAGTCGGCGGGGGTGGGCTTTTATGATGTGGCTGCGACTTGTCCACGGGACGACTGCTGGAGGACACAGCTGCAGGTCCTTTCACCATATTGGATTATGCAGAATCCGATACTGACCCATTGGTGAGGGCATTACAAGCCCTGACCCAACACAGCCACCTGTTTGTTCAGGCAGAGTTGATCTGTTGGTGCATCAATCAACCAACATAACCCTGTTTTCCAGCTCCCTCTGTGGTGATATTTGTATGCAGGCATGTTTTTAAACACTGACACATTTAGGTCAAATGACATGTTTTGCTGAAAGTGCAGAGTCTCTCTCGCGTGTTTGGTCCATCTCATATCCAGCCTTGTATTCTCTATTCACAACACCAGCTATACAAGAGCTGCACTTAGTGTTCGAGCACGTCTATATATAGACACTGAGGTGATGCTCCTATTGTTGGAGATTGATTGACGTGACTATTTATACAGTGGAATCCAAATACACAATAGAAGAGTTTCTTTTAAACAAACAATACCCACCTAAAAATGTCTCAGGAGTGATGAAGACTAAAACACACACACTCTCTCTCTCTCTCTCTCTCTCTCTCTCTCTCTCTCTCTCTTATCCTCAGCCACACACACACACACACACACACACACACATATGAACACAAGCAGGCGCCTGGCATGCATCCCTCAGCCCTGTGTTTGGACAGCTCTCCTGTGACACCCCATCAATGTCTGCGTTGGACAACCATCAGAGCTGTTCAGCCAGACTGGGCTCTGTGGTGCAGTCCCATGTTAGCGCACTCAGCTGGGTTTCAGGTTTCACCGGCTCAGTGCTGAGGGGGAGCCGTAATACTTGTGGCGGCAAGTGGCCCTCTGGCGTTTCTGGTCCAAGAGCACATGGCTGGCAAGTTTACCACATTCCTCGTACAGACCGCACCAGTGACTGCCTCACAACACCAAACAGAGCAGAGCTGCAGTCTCACAGTCTTTCTGCTCATCGAGGATACGAGACCAGGATCTCGCTAGATCCATAAGTGCATTAGTTGTGCAAGCTGTGTGCACAGTCTTATCTGTTGTAGTATTACATCATATACCTTCAGCACAGCTGTAACTCATTAATGAAATGCTCTGAACAACAAAAGTGAAAGAAAAGTTTTTATTGCACACCTAAACATAATCAGGGTGATTATTCAAAGTAATGTGCATCAAGGAAACTGTTTGCAAATGGCACCACACAGAAGAACACAGGATCAATATCTTATCTTTGAGATAAGCAAAGTGCATTCATGTTGCTGCTACAGGAAATAACTTATGTTTGTGTAGAACTCACATTTCCCTCATACATTGATTTTAATTAACCAGCTTACTTATTCACATTCACAGAAATTGTACATGCACAGTCAGTTTAAATGAAATGTGTTCACATGATAACATGCTCGAAATGTAATGTTATGTAATATTAAAGGAAAGACAGGAGCCTGTGCAGTTCCTACTGTGTTTTAAGGTGCTTCAGGCTTTCTTCTCTGCTCAAACAACACTTGTGGTAATGTTGAGTGCCATGTATTCCCACTCTGTCTCCTGATTTCAGTCTTCCTCTTCAGCACAGGACGTGCAGCTCACGTTCGTGCAGCTCTGTGACCTGGAATGAAAGTTTCTGTGGACAGTAGACACAGCACATCATCTCTGCTACTATAAACTCCACTAGAGCAGCTCAGGCCAGGAAACCACATTAGCCCATTCACAGTCCATCCTCCCAGCATTTAACTGACCCGGTCTGACCATTACTGGGACTTTACTAAGTGAGGCTGCATCAACGAGTCAATGCACAGCACACCCGAGGTCAATATCTGTCAATGTTGGAATTCATGAGAGATGCTGCAGGAATATTTTGTCAGCGAGTGAAATATTATTTTATCAGCAGTGATCCCATATTCATTTAAACGTATGTGCTGGGATCAGATGTGGATAACTCTGTGAACACAGATCTTAAGTCATTCACACAAAGAAAAGAAACCCATCAGTGCATCTTGAATCACATTTTACAACAGGATCATGAGCATATTCTGGCAGGTCCAGACAACCTGCCGTTGATATAGTACCCTTCTAATTACAGAGCAGATTTCAAAGACTTGCTCATTCATTCCTGCACCGATGCCACCCCCCCCCCCCCTCCACCCCACTCCCACCGCTCCCCCGACAGGCACTGAGAAGGCCTAGACAGCCTTGATGCTGCGGCTTGTTGTTTTTCATTCAACTGTCTTATAGCTCTTGCCGTCTGTTCTGTCTCTGAGCTCATATTCAGCTCTGACTTTGCATTCTTGGGTCCAGAATATGACACTGTGAACAAACCGGCGTCTTTGTTCACTTTTCTACATTGTAACTTGATAACATGCTATAAACACATTATTGTCAGAGTGATTCATCAGAGTGATTTGACACTGAAATGAGAAGTGTGGTCTTTGCACCAAGTTGAACTGAAGGTTTCCTCCATTAACCATGTGTGCGTCTCAGCACCTCGGCCCCCGGTGGACTGCCTGGGCTGCGATTTAAGTGGTTTCTGCTGAACCGTTCTGTCAAGTCAAGCATTCCAAGCAGCCGGTGACCAGGAAACCACAGTGCTCGCTTGCACTTCTGGGACCTAGCACCCCACACATGCTCCTCAGATATGCCTGGATGGCTGGTGTGATTAGGGGAGAAGCTGGAGGCAGTGTTTGTTTATCAAAGGAGACGTTTTGTTAAAATTAAGGTTAAGGTTTTTCATTGCCACGCTTGAGGGAAATGTGTGAGTGATTACAATTTACATTCCTGCGGTGGGACCCTCCATGAGAGCAAGTGCTTCTGAGTGTGGGGGGCCGCACACTCACCTAAAATCCCTCTGCTGGCCGTCTGTATATTTTCAGGTCTATAGAGCAACATTTGTGTTGAGTGTGTGAATGTTGGTGTGTGTTTTTGTAACGTCAGGTGCCTCCGGAGGAAGTTAAGCTCTGGTTTGTTGTTGGTGAGGGGTGATTGTGTTCTCTCCTGCAGAAATCGGGGGGCCATGATAAGCTATCTCCTCGCCCTGAGGAGTGTATGTGCCCCTCATACACAAACACTCACTCATTTAATAACATTCCCCAGCAGTCATTACTCTTTATGGAGTCCTGAGTGTGGGGCCGAGGCACCAGGAGCACAATTCAAGCCTGTCCTGAAGAGGTGGGGGGGCAAAGTCATCTACCCCCTGACCTTAAAAGCTTGCTGACCTCCCAACCCCCTCCACACACTCCCTACAAAACACAAAAGAACAAACAGCCACCTCCATCTTGCTTATCACCCAGCTTCTAAAGACTTGACCGGCCAATTAGAGTGGATTTAACGTTTGACATGATACTGAATAGCCACAGGTCAGCAGACCGACAAGACCCAGGCGTGATTAACCTGTCAGAGTCAACTCAATAACTTAAATGAACTCTTCCGTCCAGGTTGTCACTCATGGCTGGAGACGA